AGAATGATGATCTTCAGGTCCATCTATGTTGCTGCAAATGGCATTATTTTATTCTTTTTTATAGCTGAGTAGTATTCCATTGTATAAATACACCACAACTTCTTTATCCAGGCACCTGTTGATGGATCCTTTTTAAAGTCACTATTATGCTAGGGTGGAAAAAAATACTGGCTAAATTATTTAAATTTCTAAGCATCACTTTTAGAAATAATGAGGTCTCATTTCTATGTAAATCATTGAGACTTGCACTGAGTATGGTGGGAGGTGAGGACAGGTGTGGGTAGATAGGGGGGTGGACACCATTCATGTCTAGCGCAAAGATACTCTGTACTGGAAAATAAAGTTGTATAAATAAGTTAAGGTTGGAAATATAAGGCAATAAATACTTAACCAAAGCATTTGTTCTTAATCTAGTAGGCAAAGGAGAATTATTGTAATTTTCTATGCAAGGGGACGACATAGCAGAAATGGAAGCAGTAACAATAGGGAGGCAAACTGTAGTATAGGATTTGGACTGTGTTTTCTCAGAACTTACAATAGACACAGAAGTAAAGTTGGCCAGAGAGTATCCTACATTTTAGGAAACATGCCTTTCAGAGAAAAAGTAGTAAAAGAGAAGTGTTCAAATAAATGTACATGGTTACAAGCAACAATAGATAGCTGAGTAGCTTAATAGAAGGGGATGTCCTGGAAGGATGCTGGAAGCTCCCGGGACCAGTGTGAAGCTGGTGGAATGGGCCTGCAGTAGGCAGGGACCAAGGGTGCTTAGAGGTCAGCAGCAGTCACTAAGCAGTTGTCTGTTAATGCTGATGATCTGGTGAACACGGGACTGCACCACCGGACTGCACCACCTCACACCTCCCTTCCCTCTTCATTGCACTCTTTCAACAGATTAAAAGAATTGAGGTAACTTTGACACCTTTGGAGCTGATAGAGTCTTGGTGAATATCCATCTTGTTTCTGTCTTGTCTTCCTTAATAGGGCCTCGTACCTAACCTGCCTGCACAGCGGAGAGTTCATGTGCCAGAGGAAACTGTGTCACTCTTAGGAAATGAAGATAGATGTTGGACAATTGAAATATAAGAAATAGTCATTCCAGGCAGGCTCTCAGGAACGCAACTGTTACATTAAAATCAGATAATCCCAGAAGGAAAAAAGGGAAGGACATCCCAAGAAAACAGTGCGCTATATGGGGAATTTTAGGATTATCCCAGCTTGAAATTGCCATTTATGAGAAGAAATATCACAAAGGACACATTCTTGCAAAATAACTGAGACCTCTTCCGTTCATCTTGGGAAGGATAAACTGTTGAGCAAGCTGACTAAAGAGTCAGAGAGATTACCAGAATAAGGAGCTGAAAAAGACGGGGAAGATCAGTGATAGAAATTTAATGACGGGTAGAGAAAAAACAAAGCTCTTCAAAGCCTATTTTGCTTCAGTATTTTAGACCTTGGAAAGCAATCTTCAAATGAAAAAGGGCAAAGCAAAGATTTTTAGGATGAAAATAAAGATCCAATATAAGTGATTAGATAGCAAAAGAGCATGTATTTGTTTCTAAAAGAACTCAAAGCTTCAGCCTAGATAAATTACTTGCCACAGCACTGAAGAAACTGGAAGATGTGATCAAGAAAACACTGTCAGTAATTTCTTAGAAAGTTCATTGAAGAAATGTCAGAAGTAATGAGTTGGGCAAATGCTGTCTAGATTCATAAAAAGGGTAAGATGACAGGTTATAGAACTACACTTGGTGCAAAATTCTCAAGTGGATTATTAAACAGTTGATTTACGAGCATGTAGACAAGAAAACTGCCATGTGCATGAATAAAGTAGGGTGACATAGTGGGGACTGGAGTCAGACGACTTGGTTCAGGCCCTCATTCTGTCACTCAGCAGCTGTGTGGACACAAGCATATCACTGAACTCCTTTGAGTTGCAGTATCTTTATCTGGGAAATAAGGTTCTGGAACTGGACGTCCTTTAATGGGCAGTTTAGTCACAAAAAAAATCTATCAGCTCCAAGTGTAGTGAATTCACCTCAATTCATTTAATCAGGCTACCATTTATTAAAGGACATAGCCTGTACTGGATGCGTATGTCATTTTCTGAAGTACCCACATTGGTCTTACGACAGGTGGGTATTATTAATCCCTTTTTGCAAATACTGAAATTGAAGTTCAGAGTGGCTAACTAATAGATTAGTGCATCAAGGCCAGAGTGTATTCTGATAGCAGGGAATCAGGTGACCAGCCCTCCACGCTACTGTGATGGACAAGATGAATAGATTTAGGATGGAGAGCTCTACAATAACACTACAGTGAGCACTGCAGCAATAACTTTTGTTTGGGTAGTTACACCTAAAATATGTTGATGATGAATCCATGTCCATTTCATGGGAAGTTTCTTCTGGTGTTCCTTTAACTTTGGCCTGTCCAACTTTTGGATTTTTATAAACAATTTGGCTGAAAGAATCAAAGAAATTCTAAGCATTTTTTTTAAAAACAGGAATAGGAGAAATATCCAGATGAATAATTTATTCACATATTCATTTATTCAAGTATCACATCCAGAATAAGATTCGAGGTAAGCAATTCATTCACAGAATGACCAGTGTTCAAGCAGTGAAGTATTTTAGTACTGAAAGTAAATTCCTGCACTTAGTATCAAAACTACCTCGCTGGAAAGAAAAGCCTTAACTTTGAAGAGGGTTAGAATTTGAGGAAGTGAAACAGAGGTTGGGAGTGTGTGGGATGGGCTCTCAGGTTGCTGTTTGGAGCTTCCAAGAAGGACTAGAATGGAAATATCTCGAGCAATATCTAAGTGATTTCCCCCCACCTAAGTCGCAGGATGGGAAGTAAGGAAATCTTCAGTTAATAGACATTTTCTGTTAAATGAACCCAATTTATTTCACGTTGATTTCAAGTTCAACAGAAACCAACCACTTGAAAATTCTAGCATAAAAAACTAATGTAAATTTCAGTTACACTGACAGAAGAGAGCATTTGGGTTTGGGGTGGCAGGATGCCTTACAGTTTCTGCCTTAGCCAGACCACATCCTGAGCACGGTGGATTCCCCTCTGGACCACACAGTCACAAACTGTAGAAAGTCTAGTGGAAAGTGTCCGGGGGGTTGAAAGATCTGAAAAGCGTATCAAATGAGGAATAGCTGGAGCAACTAGAAAAGATAAGAGTGACATGAAAGCTTCTTTTAAATATATAAAGAGGGACTATTTGGAAAAGACGGTTAGTTATAAAACTCTCAGAAAGAAAAATTAGATGTGGGTAGAATTATTGAAAAGTACTTTTTTCCAATGAGATCCTCTCCAAAGTTGAATGGAGTCACCCTTACAGGGTTAAGAGCCTCCTAGTCACTCATCCTGTTATATTCAATGAATGTCGGCTGAGAGCCTTCTGTGTTCCATTCTAAACTCTTGGAAGACATCAATGAGAAAACAGACAAAAATCCATGCTCTTGGAGTGTTTACATTCTAGTAGGGGTAGGGAAACTTTCAATAAACAATGAAACAAACAAATCAGTAAATTTTATGGCATGTTGGGATGTGAAAGAGTCATGAAAAGAGAGTAGAATAAGAGAGGTGAGGAATGAGAGACGGTGGGACGGGAATGGGACAGGCTGCAGTTACACTAGGATTGCTCTGGTCGGGCAGCCGCATTGAGAAGGTGACAAATGAGCATAGACTTCAGTGAAGAGTGTGAGGATGTTCTCCTGGGAAAGGATATTGTAAGCAGAGGGAAAAGCCATGTGAGGGCTGAGGAGGGATTGTACCAGCAAGGAAGCCTCCTCGGTGGGTATTTAAGCAAAGCTGGGCAGAACATTTGGGAGAAGAGGTGAAAAGAGGATTACTGCTTTGAGTGAGAGCTTGGACTTCGGTCTCTGCCAACTTTTTATATTCTCTGTGCATAGTATTTTCTTCTAGTTCAGAATAATTAATTTGGCAATGTTGAGAAGAATGGGTTCAAGAGCAGAGATGTCAGACCCAGGCTCACATATACTAATGGTAAAGGGACCAGACAGAGAGTAGAAACATTTTAAAATATGGGCAATGCATTTGAATATTTTTTTAAATTATGTCAATCAAACAAAGCATGGTTGCAGGCCAAATCTGGCCCAGGGGCCTCCAGTTTGGTACCTTTCATTAGAGAAAGTGAAATCATTTAAGAGGGTAATGGTCTTATCTGGACAGGAAGTCAAGGAGAATAAAAGATAAAAGAAGAAATCTGTGTGTCTTTGGTGGCAATTATTCCTTTGTTATGATTTGACAAGAAACCAAAAGGGAAGAAAGAATCAAAGACTACTCTGTGGTTTAGACCCCAAGACTTTGTTTTTTCTCAAGCAAGGGTAACATTGGTTTTTTTTCTGCCTATTATCAATGGCCAGATACTTACTTGTCCTCTCATTGTCCTGTTATACATATTTGCACATAATTTAGAAACTTGGAATCCACTTAGGGAAAGAAAATACTAGTCAATGCAACCTTTCTCAATTATTTTGTATCTATAATGTAATTATAGTCGTAATACTTTTGAACAGAGGCTCAGAATTAATTAACTGATAATTACAAAGACACAGGTAAAGCTTTTCATTCTTTTTGCCATATAACTTGTCCTGTTTCCTTGCTGCAGGTGCCTTCATTTGCAAGATGGTGCCGTTTGTCCAGTCCACTGCTATTGTGACAGAAATACTCACAATGACCTGCATTGCTGTGGAAAGACACCAGGGACTTGTACATCCTTTTAAAATGAAGTGGCAATACACCAACCGAAGGGCTTTCACAATGCTAGGTGAGGGCATGCCGGTGGCAGTAGTTAATGCCATTCTTCACTACAGAACAAAGAGAATTTCGTCAAAGTGATTCATAAACCAGTGGAGTAAGCGCTCATCTATCTTGTAGACATTGGAGTGTAATTTCAGGGTTTCAGTTCACATTTTCTGCCACCCCCCCCCACCTTCAGGCCTACCCCAGCACTGAAAATCTCTCTGCTCAGATTTACTTTTTGAGTTACGTTATAACCACTTAAGCTATACTCTCACCTGATCTAAGATAATCGATCGGTGGCACTGCCGTATTAACATTCATTAGGTTAGTGCTCTGTCATCCTGAGGTTAGAGCCTCTGAGCCAAGGCGCCCTTGCGGAGGCAGGTAGATTTTGACAGAGGCCAGGAAAGTTGTCTTTAGGAAAATGGAGAACAGGGGTGCTGCCTAGAGGTGGCCCCGGTGGTGTGCGCGCAACAGTAGACGGCCGCAGGGCTCATGCGAACGCTGGGCGCTGAGTGCTGGAGGTGCCTGACAATGACAAATTCCGTCCCTGCCCTTATTTTGCTTCAGGCATTCCTGAAGCCTCAGCTTGCTGTAACCATTCCCGAGTCAGCAAGTCATGATGAGCACGTGCCTCCTGATGAATGTAAACCTAAAGCAATGTCCTAAAGCCTAGCACAGGAAAACTGAGGAATTTCTCTGATGATTGTAGTCAAGCCATTTGAAACCCTAAAGTGCTTCTCCATGATTTGAATGTATTACAGCTGAATAACCAGAAGTTTAGGAGCAACTAATGCAATAATCAAAGAGAGCAATTTTTTACTAATATCTCACTTGAGAGAAGTGATTAAACAGTTGTTTCTACTGTAAAAATTTAGCTAGCATGGGGCGGTAGAATTACAGAAAGAACTCCTGAAGGCTTTGCAACACCGAACTCATTTTAAATAGCTAAACCAATACGGAAAAAAATCACTGGCTTCAATTGTTTTCAAATTTATGTCACATCCTTCCTACAAAGAATTCAAAGACTTCTTGGCTTTTAATAATTGACATCCTTCCACCATCAGAACATCTGAAAACAGCATGTGGGTGTGGAAAGAGAGTTAGAGAAGGAATACATGGAGGAGGGGAGTTATTCAAAAAGGAAAGAGAAGGAGAGGGAATTTCAGCAACCGAAAGCAAAGTTGGTAACAGGCAGCTAAAGGAGTGCCTCCTCAAAAATGTCGTAGGAGACAGAAAGGCTTTTAAATCAAGCAGCGTCATCTCCCTTAGAGGCTTTCCTACGGTGTCGTGCGACAGCTCCCTCTCCCTGTTACACTGGGAACCAGTGTCTATCATGCCCAGTACCTCCTTCTAGCTGAGACTTGCTGGCTCCCAGGCCCCAGCCAGCAGAGATATGCTAGACACTCTTGCCCAGATGTGCTCACAGATTCTACCAGTTATGTTCATATGTTCATAGAACCCTAGCCCTTCTGTCCCTGAGCAGAAAGTGGATTCAAGAACATTGGCAATGAGCCAAGCCAGCTAGACTCAATTTCTCCAGAACTTCTACTAAATATTGGAAAAATGATTGAACATAAGGTAACATAATAAAATAATGACTGGACTAGAAAAGAATAGATGTGTGTAGCAATGAGGAGAGAGAGAGGGGCAGGGACAGAGACATTGATTTGTAAGCCTTACAACTATCTTGAATCATTGATTCATAATGACCTTCTATAGGTGGTGTCAGTTCTTATGTTTCTTTATAACAAACATCAATTATGGATTAAGTGGGCCTCAGTTCCTTGAAACTCAAGGCAATACAGTGTTTTCTTAAGGATTTCACTCAGTATAGAATGAACAAGCAGAGCTTGAGCTGGGAAATTTTTGTTTTAAATCAGTGTTGGGGAGGAGATCAAGATGGTGGAGTAGAAGAACGTGGAGCTCACCTCCCCCCACAAAAATACACCTACATGTGGAGCAGTTCTCACAGAATGCCAACTAAAAGCTGGCAGGAGGTATCCTATCCAACCAAACTGGCAAGAAAGATCCCACATAACCAAGTAGAGTGAAAGGAGAGGGGAAAAAAGGAGTAGGGATGAGACCTGTGCCCCGGAAGCAAGCTGTGAAAGAGGAAAAGTTCCCTTGTCCTGGGAACCTCCTTCACCCCCTGAGAGGTCTGCAGGGCAGATAGGGAGCTGGAGTGGCCTGGAGTTTGTTCAAGAGGAGTGTGCAGAGCTGGTGTGCTACCAGGCAGGGAAGCGAGGGACCAGCACAGAGAACTGCCACAGCACTGCACTACGCACCCTGAGATGTGCACCTGCTGGTGTGTGCACCGGCTAAACCACATACTAGGGCACAAAACAAGCCTCAATAAATTTCAGAGATAGAAATTACTTCAAGCATCTTTTCTGACCACAACAGTATGGAACTGGAAATCAACCAAGAGACAAAAAAAAAAATTACATGGAGACAAAAATCAACGTTGGAGCTCTTGGTTCTGGCCTTGTCCTAGTCCAATGAGATTCTTTTGTTCTTTGTTGAGGACATATCATTAAAGCAGTTCCCTCAACTAACTCTTATGGAGGACAAATCATTTGGAAAAAGTGCCCTGGTTTCTGATGTTACAAGTGTTTGTTTTGTAAATAAGAATATGATGTTCATATAATTATACTGATGATAAATGTACTTTCAATTTTAAGAAGAAATTATAGAAGGTGCTTATATCATGTTTAAGTTATTCTTCCATTCAACAAACAGTAGATACTTGAGCAGCACCTACTGAGGGCCAGGAATTTCCCTTGGGAGTTTATTTGGAGAAATTAAATAAGTAAGTAAGTAAACAGCATTGCCCTTGCTCAAAGGAAGTTGTTAGAAAGCAGTAGGGCAACAAGGGTGCCGCTCTGCGGGGCACATAGAGACAACAGGGAATTAGTGGTTAGTTCTATCTGGAAATGGTGGTAGCCGTCAAAGGTTTCCAAGAGAAGGTGACTTGTAAGTCAAGTCCTAGAAAATGAGTCCCCAGATAGAGAGGGGAGTAGGGTGCCAGTCCAGAGTGACAGCATCGAGACATGGAGCAGCACAATGCATTCTGGGAAGTGGGACCTGAAGCCAGCTCTGTAAATTCCTCAGTGCAGGACTCGGGTGTGAAGAATGGGAACAGAAATGTCAGCGGAGACAGGGAGGCATGTGGGACTGCAGAGAACCTCGGGGACCATTTTAAGGGATTTGGGTTTTATCCTTTAGGCATGATTTACACATTTAAAACTGACTTCAGGAAGACTATTCCAGCAGCACTTTTAAGGGTGGTGAAAGAGTGGAAGTGAGAACATGTAAGGAGACCACTGCAGAGCTCCAGGGTGGAGTGAGTGATGAATATAAGGGGTCTTTATGGTTAGAGAACTGAGCACATGTGTACTTTGCTTTGCTGAGTTGCAGTCTGACTATTTTTAACGTTTTTACAGGTGTGGTCTGGCTGGTGGCAGTCATCGTGGGTTCGCCCATGTGGCACGTGCAGCGACTTGAGGTAGATTCGGGGCTGGGACTGGTAATCATACTCTTGAAATGCTCTCCCCTCAGCTTAATTATAGCTATTCTCTCTCCTGCAAGAGCATTGCAGCCAGTTTCTATGATCTCAATTATTTCACTGGAGGTTTTTCAAGTGGAATAAATAACTTGCTTTAAGATTTTTTTTTCTGCTTTACCTAGCTCTTCCTTGAGCTTATGTTGCTAAGACATTAATGCTTAAAATGGAATGTTCCAGGGCCACTTTCTACCTTTCCCCGCTAGCTGAACATGCCTTTCCTAGTGTTCTTCAGTGCCTTGTTATGTTTTAAAAGTTCGATGGTTGCCGTAGAGTTTTCTTTGAAGTCACATAATTTCGTAACCAACTATCTACTTAGTTGATTTGCCTTCATGAGCCCTTTCTCACCTGCCTGCTAGTCATTGACAAATTGAAATTTGAAGTGAAACATGTAAGCGCATCATCCCATCCCACTCTCCCCTTCATCAGCCTCCAGCGGTGATTCGCAGTGAAGGAAGCACTGTGTTGGTTTTGGTGACCCACTGTCTCCACTGAAGCACAGTTAAGCGCCTCGTGCATGGGAGGTCCAGCACAGACAGTAGTCTTACCCTCTAAGGTGATTTTTAAAACTACATGTCTTTTGTACCTTTTTAAATTGACGTAGGCAAATGTGAAGCTTTCCTGGGCGCTCGGTGCCCACCAGCAAGGATATCAGACAAGCTCTCAGGCAAGGGTATGTTTAGAAAGCAGCTTGATTTGAGTTTAGTGCAACTCATACACTGAATAAGCTGGGCTCCACAGGTAAGAGCAGAGGTCTGTCTCTTGCCACCTGTAAGAACGCAATCTGACGACTTCCCAGTCCTCTGCTGAAGTGCCCTGGATGAAACTTTGAGTGGGCCCTATGCCTCTTCCAGTCAGTCAGATAATAAAATTCTTCTGGTCACTTTTGGCCACAAGAACAGTGACAAGACGAGTCATGGAACAGCATTAATTCTTTTATCAAAATGTGCAATCCAGTGGCACAATCAATCATGAGAGTCCACATTCTCAATCAATTTAAAACATCTTTCTTCCCCCAGTGTGAGCCATTTTTCGGCTAGAATCCTAAAATATGGAGAAGGGATATGATTCTCTTCTTCGGTTTCCTTAACCTTGAGTTCTCTTTCTCCCCCCATTCAGTTGGCTGCCTCTGGCTCCCTGGGAGCTGGGGAGGAGAGGAGGGGGAGAGAAAGGGCAGCCGTCCTCTGGTAGTGATGCCCTCTGCACATGACTGTTCCCCATGATTCAGTCTTTCCTTCTAGGGTTTCTCACAGTAACACCACTGAAGCTTCTGACTGCTACTCCCTTCTCTAGCCGGCTGCTCACAAAGACCTTTCAGCTGCCACACACAACGGCCCGTGGCCTGCCCCTTTCTGAGGCTGCCTTTACCCTTAGCAGGAAATCCATACCAATGGAGCCCTTTCATAAGTGACCCCACGCAATTCCCCTTGTGGGGTCCATTTCTGGCCCATAGAACACAAGGAGACTTGTCCATTTTTTAAATAAAATTATTTTATCATCTGCCCTGAATATATTTTATTTAACTCATTCAGTTTATAGAAAATGCATATAATCTAATTGGCAAAGCCAGCCCTCTCTGGCAGACAGATCAGCCAAATCAGATTTTCTTCCTGTCCAGAAAAAGTATGATTTCATTTCACGGATTAAATAAGTGTATTAATATGCATTCCCACTGCTACCTTCTCGCTCCTAAATTCTATGATTGGGGGTGCGAGCACGCACAGCGTGAAGCGCCACCGACTCCACCATTTCCACCGATGTTCTCTATGCTTCGCTCTTGCTGGGCTCTCTCTCAGGAGGGAAGCATTCGATGACTTTCAGGGGATGGAAGCAATGAGGTGGCTAAGTTAAAGCCGTCATCACTTCTACCCCTTCACTGTATGGAAAATGCGAATTCACAACATCTCATTACCTGTCAAAACACCTTTGTTCTAATGCCAACCTTTACCCTGAATAGAAATACATTTAATACAGGGAAAAGCATAAAGCCTCTTCATGGATTAATGGCACCTCGATCAGTGGTTTCACTGACCTCAGTAGTTTGAACCTTCTCTTTCCTTGGTGCCCCATAATGAGATGAGAGACATAAGGTGTGAAAATTGAACAAAAAGTGATTATGAAAGAGGAACTGAAAATGTAGACCCAGCATGACACTTCAACCTCAGGCATCCTTTTAGGCAGTGGAATTTTCAAGAAGTGTATGTTTGGAAATAGAAGATCTGAAATTGATTCCCATGAACCAATCTGAGTGTGCCCTCAGAAGGTTCTTTGCTTGTCCCCATTGTATACCTGCTTGGAGACTGTCAGTCTAGCTTGTGCTGGAGGACGTGTCAGAACCGTGCCCACATCTTTGTTGGCCCTTATGGGCTCTGCCTACTTGGAGTCAGAATGAGTTTCACCTTCACATCCTCTTTCCAGGGAGTCTGGATCATAAAATTATTATTCAATAAGTTTTTTCATTCCTAGTTGTATTTGAAAAATAACACCTGGACTGAACTTGAATTTTCACACTTTTGGTGAATGTACCAGAAATCTTCTTTTCCCTCATTCCCTCATTCCCTCAATCTTCTGTGAAGGTTAGTGATAAAATTTGCTGGGAATGGAGGCAGAAATATGTCTGAAGGTTTTTAAGTATTCTTCAGCAGGAAAGCTGCAAAGTGACTCAGATGATAACAGTTTTGATAAATTCTCTAACTTTAATTCCTATTATCGAGATAAACTTTTGAATATACTGTAAGTGTTTAGTTTGTCTCTTATTCACATTTTTATTACTATTCATATTGTTATCAATAATTTTAAAAACTCATCAGATCAGTCTGTAAGAAATAGTATTAGTAAATAGAAATTGCCTTTCTGTAAAATATATGTCTCAGAGGCTTGTGATTGGATCTGAATATTTATAGAATGGTGATAGTTTGAATCCCAATTTCTTATTCATCTCCAAATCTAAAAGCTACCAGCTGCCTCTCTAAAATCTTTGAAAGTAGTATGATTGTTGCAATCTGAAATAGCAGTAACCAAATACAAACCATCAGTACTTACTCAGTTGGAAGAAGTCTGATGTCTTGTCAAAATTTGTCTCTTCAACAGTTGAGGGAGCAAAATAATGTAACATTATTGTACATTAGTACAATTAATGTAACATTGTACATTAATGTAACTGGCACGCAGTACAAAATTTTTTTTTCATACGTACATACTTTGGTCATTGTAGTGTTTTTTCATGCAGTTGAAAACTTATGACTACCAACCATCCTGTAAAAAGCTGAGAAAGATAAAAAAAACAAAAAAGAACAAGAGGCTATGGACCTCCATTCCATTTAAAATGGAAAATATGAAACTTAAGAATTTAAGCAGTGATGTGGAAAAACCATACTTCACAACAAAAGAAAATCAAAATATTATCTCGTCTGAAATATGTACACATGGTAAATATGTGAGGGTCTGAAAAATGCTGCATTGTAATACCACTTGGCTGCTTTGGGTTCTTTTGCTGCAAACTCTGGCTCTTCTAACTGAATTACACTTATTTTGAAGATTAAGTATGACTTCTTATATGAAAAAGAACACGTCTGCTGCTTGGAAGAGTGGGCCAGCCCTGTGCACCAGAAAATCTACACCACCTTCATCCTTGTCATCCTCTTCCTCCTGCCTCTTATGGTGATGCTCATCCTGTACAGTAAGATCGGTTATGAACTTTGGATAAAGAAAAGAGTAGGGGATGGCTCAGTGCTCCGAACTATTCATGGAAAAGAAATGTCAAAAATAGCCAGGTCCGTTTAATGAAATGTTCACCTCTGTTTAAAATATTTTTAATTAGTTGTGCTGGAAGGGACAGTTGCTTGCAATGTCAGAATTTCTGAGTAATGCAGTGGAAGCATCACTTGTAATTCATGCTTAGCACTTGGGCTGACTTTGAACTTTTGAGATTTTATGTATGGCAGGAAGAAAGAGCAAGGTCACCAGTTCCTAAATCAAAAGGGAAGCCACTGTTGCAAATAAAAACTTATTTGGAATTTTAAAAATTGCCGTATTTTCACCTCTTTGTCAATACAACATGGTAGGAATTGCTGTGGAGCTCTCCTTTCTCTTCCACTCACCAGCTATGTGATGTCGATAAATCTGCTTACTTACTTCCTCCCATGTCCCCTGCTTTCTCATGTAGACCAGGAAGCAAAATAATATCCATCCTTACTTCCTCCCACCCAAGGATGGTACTAAAAAACATGAGATGATATGTAGGAAACTCCTTTGGAAATGAGAGAGTATGTTATTTATTTTAAATTATTATTATTATATATATGTATGTGTATATATATATATAAATCTAAGGCTTTATTTTCTGATCATATTGATTAATAGAAATTTTTAAACGCAATTTAAAAAACCTAAAATTTACTTCTATGATATCTGTGGGCTTTCTGGTTTATTTTATCATCTACACTGAATGGCTATTAAAAAGAAACAAAATCTTGCAAGGAGTTCTAGTGGTTTGATGAAATTCACCATTTCTTCAGGTGTGCGGCGACCTCTAGTGCCCAGTTTACATAAAGCGCTCCTCTCTCAATGTGCAGGGTGCTGGACTCTTCAGCACTTGGGGCTTCTTGCTGATTTAGTGCTCTCTCTTCCTCGGAACTACCATGGACTACCATGTAGAGATAATAAATAACAAGTATGACTATAAACTTGGAAATGGGTCTCTTGCAGACATTAATCTCTATTACAGGACTAATGGAGAAAACTAGTTTGGATCCCTGGTTAATCATAGGAATTAACTATATACTGGAGGATTTCATTTTAATTCTATCCTGAGGGCTTCCCATATTTTTCTAACATATGAAGTTAGACTGCTGAAGTTTAAATACAAACTAGGCTTTCTAGTTTAAATCCTCTTCTAGCCATCTGACTTTGTGAGTCACTTGACCTTCTCTGTGCCCCAGTTTCTGCGTCTGTCAAATGGCTTGTTGGGAAGACTAATGACATGGTCCATGCCAAGCATCTAGCATAGTCCTAGACTTGTAATAAGCATATATCTTACGGATGTTCATAATATGAAAAATACAGGAATGAAAGTAACAGCAATGGGAGAAGATGAGAGACCACTCACAATGAACCTATTGTGAGCTTCATTAATATTTGAAAAATTATCATTGAGAAGTCTCAAACTGTATTTAATAGCTTTGCTTTCAACTTGACCCATCTGCCAAGGAGAAGTTAACCAACACAGTGTATCCTTGTGGGTCCAGGAAGAAGAAGCGAGCTGTTGTTATGATGGTGACCGTGGTGGCTCTCTTTGCTGTGTGCTGGGCACCTTTCCATGTGGTTCACATGATGATTGAATACAGTGAGTGCTTGTCATTCTCATTTGATGGAAATTCTAGTTTGTTTCCTGTTAGAACAGGCAGTGAATCATTAATATTTGTTGCCATTCACTTGGGTAATCAAATATCAGACATTGAATAGGTTTCGTTCGTGTCTTCAAGATTCCCAGATCGTTATGCAGTAGGGAATTACGGATGCATATGACCAAAGCTTTAATAATTACAAAAAATAAAGCAAAGCTATTTTACAAAAACACAAAGAAATTAAAGAAATTCTTCTCTCACGCTAGGCTTTCTGTTTTCCCTAAGCCATTTGGGAGAGGTGTGACATCCTGTAAGTGCTCTCTATTTAGAACCCTCACTTGAACCACATGAATTTAATAAAACCCAGGATTTCAGCTAGACCCTTAATGTATTCTCTCCGATAATCTGAGACTTAACATGGTTCTCAGGTGATTGTGTTTCTATAACCCAGTGGATATTTGAAGGGTAACTGCTGCTTCCAGATGACATGAAGCTTGAAATCAAGTTGAAATGCAATAAATCCTCTAATATGTGCTGGGCACTGGGCTGTGCATGTAATCCTAGACTGTCTAAGAGTGAAGACTCATCACAAAGGTGTTTTTCTTCAGACATCAGATGGCTCACTCCAAAATGGTCTGGAGAATTTTTCACACTTATAACCACTTGTAAAAGTGTGCATGTTTGGTAAAGACAGAAGATAAACAGAAACATTATTTTATGGTCATTAAAACAAATATGCGTTCTAAAGTATTGCATTTTATTACAGGCAATTTTGAAAAGGAGTATGACGATGTCACCATCAAGATGATTTTTGCGATAGTGCAGATAATTGGGTTTTCCAATTCCATCTGTAATCCTATTGTTTACGCCTTTATGAATGAAAACTTCAAAAAGAATTTTTTATCTGCAGCTTGCTATTGCTTAGTGAAGGAAACCTTCTCTCCAGTGCGAAGGCATGGAAATTCAGGAATCACTATGATGCAAAAGAAAGCAAAGTTTCCCCGGAAAGAGAACTCAGTTGAGGAGACCAAAGGAGAAGCATTCAGTGATGGCAACATTGAAGTCAAGTTGTGTGAACAACCCGAGGAGAAAAAACATCTCAAACGCCATCTTGCGCTCTTCAATTCTGAACTTTCTGAGAATTCTGCTTTAGGCAATGGGCATTAATTATAGCAATTTCTTTATAATGGATGCCATTCATAGCTTTATCTGAAGAGAAAAGTATTTGAGCAAAGGTCAAAGATTTGTTCTTTATTCTTCGAGTGATGAAAAGAAGGAAATTTTGTCATTTTTCATAAAAATATGACATTATACATGAAACACAATTTTGGAAAATTAGTATACCATCCTTGTAGATTATAAAAGTGGATTCAAAATAAAATCTTGTACAGAAATAAATGTCCTTGCCTAGCAGTTTCCCCTCACGCAGTCAACGTTGTGTCTTTTTACTTATTGCTAAATTGGATGAGAAGAATAGCAATGATATCTTTTTTCTTTCATAAGTTTAATAGTGGAACACTATAATGTAATTTTTAGTGCACCATTGAAGCTTGGTGATGCAGTCTTTTGCTAATGAGGTCTAGCTAATTATCATAAAGTTGAAGTAGATAGAGAAGCAGTGAAATAACAGATGGGTGAGATTTAGAGGCAGGTGCTGGGGTCTCAGCTTCTTAGAGTCCTACCAAGTTGCCATTGCTGTGATGACTGGCATGTCCCTTAACCTTCTGAAGCCTCTCTTTCAAAACTAGGATGTTACCTCCTCTACATCACGGAATTGTGGCTGGAGCAACATGAGACAAGAGCAGTAAAGCACCTGGTACTCCACAGCTCCCCAAGTTCTGGAGCATTATTGCAGCTCTTCATGCCCCTGGCCCCCTCTTTCTGTCCCCTTTTCCTTCGTGAGACTCGCCCTCAACCCAGTCCAACTTTTCACTTGTGCCTATTTTATAACTGGTTTCTCTACTCAAAAGAAGAATGTTTCTGAGCTCCTCATTTATAAGTTGACCATAATAAATTGAGGCCAATCTAACTATATCAAATATTACTACTTTTAAACTTTTTACAAATTTTTCATGAGAGGGATGAAAGATGTTTTGTCATGTGAAAGGGCATTTAGGTGTAGTTAATGGATGGGAGAGAGAATCAATGCCAAGCCTGTGAAATTTTACTGTGCTTAAGACTGACCCCCAAGAAAGCTGGGTTGGAAAAATAAGAGTTTCCCACCCATGTTCATATCTAATTCTCCCTCAAACTGAACCCCTCCCTTCAGTCTTTTCCTGTTCCTCCCAAGTGTCATGGGTCCAGCGGCCACCCTCATGGTGCCCTGTTGCTTCCCCTTCAATATCTACGACTCCCGAAGTCCGGTTGTCACAGCCTCATGGCCAAAGTGTTTCTTCTGCCTCCAGTTTTCCAGCCCTTGTTCTTCTAGCCAGGTACTCGAAAGGAAGAGAAGCACAAGAGTTCTCAGGGAATTTCACCTGTAAAGCTTTCAGGCTTGGGAACCAGAGAACTCAGGCCATTGGGATCTCAAGATACAGACGTTTAATTTTATATGTGTGTTCATGTAAGCATGGATTTAAAAAAATGAAACAGTCTGTGGTATTAGGAAAAAATGTCATTATGACAACCAGAAATGAACAAAGTCAAGAGAGGAAAACTGATGACTTGGTTTGTGTCAAATTGGACTCATCACGGGTTATTTACATATGTCGTCCTCTTGTTGTGCCGAACTACCCTGCAGCAAAATGATGATTATCATTACATCATTAAACCATTAAAAACGAATCGGATTCACTGATTTTGATTATCCTCATTTAATCAGCAAATATCCATATGATTCTTTTTCAATTTTATGTACACATGCTCCAAATCTGACAATAAAAAAAACGGATAAATCAACACTATTACTGACCATTAAATTATTAAAGTTTAAAAAAATTCTTAAACATTGCAGAACTCAATCTAAAACATTTATATATTAGATAATAATTTTAAAATTTATTGTAAAATTTTTAGACAGCCTGTGAAAGCTCTTTTCTTTTTTTTTTTTTGGTTTCCATTGCATTAATGCTGTTTCAGAAACAAAATAGTTAAAACACACTTTCTTTTGTTCTTTAGAAATATACAATTCTTTTGCTCTGTTATAAAACTTTGGAAGATAAATCTGGTCTAATCCATTACTGAGAAACTCCTACCATGAGCAAAAGGAACTCTGAGTCCAGTTTGGACGCCAAGTCCTGATGATGGTGTGCACGGTTTATGAAGTCCACCAAGAGCTCACCTTGGATTTGCCAAAGGAGCCCTGGTTATGGCCTTTCTTTCTCTTTTCCCTGACTTCACAGTCCTGAGTCTCTTAAACCCCTTCATCCTCCACCCACGGATCTGCTCGTTCCCCCTTTTTCCCTCTGCCCTAGGCTGTCACTCATTTTACTCCATCTGGTTTCCCCATAGAAGAAACTGTTTATACCCAGGATTATGCAAGGTAAAGAGGAACACTGAAAGGAGGGAACTTAAAAGGAAGAAATGATAAAATGAATTCCATCAAAAAAAGACTTCCGCATAAATAAATGTTCACAACAGCTTAACTCAAAATAACCAAAAACCGGAAACAACCCAAATGTTTATCAACTAGCGAATGAGTAAACAAACTGTAGTAAAGCTGTCCAATTGACTATAACTCAGCAAGAAAAAGAAATGAACTATTAATACATGCAACAACAAGAATCAATTTCAAAATATGCTGGGTGAAAGAAGCCACGCCAAAAAGAACATATACCCTATGATTCCATTTATAAGAAATGCCAGAAAAGAGAAAACCAAAGGGATAGAAAATAAGCAAGTGGTTGCTAGGGACTAGCTAAGTTTAGGCAATTGAATACAAGAGGCATGAGAGACTTTTTTTGATGATAGAAATGTTTCATTTCTTGATTCTGGTCATAGTTACTTGACTTTATACATTTGCCAAAGTTTACTGAATTGTATACTTTAAAAGGATGAATTCATTGTATGAAAATTATACTTCAATTAAAAAAATACCCAAGGGAATTTCATTTTGCAATACAGAAATGCCGGGTCCTTATATTGGTTCCTTGACTTGTAGCATAAGATCCATCATAGTAAGAAAAGCCTATGGAAGCTTTTGAGACCCCTCCACTCCACCCTAGTAGCCAAGAGAATAAATCAAATAACAATATTGCTTCCCAGGGTGAACATCAAAGATCAGTGCCACTCTCAAAGATTTAAATGACGCAGCATAGATACCCATCATATATATTCCCATTTAATTCACCAGTCAGACCCCTGCAGAATCGAGATGGATCATAATGAATGACAGTGGGCTGGCACAGACTTAGGTCATCTCCAAGTGCTGCTGCTGCGCGGGATGTGGTACCTTTGCTAGAGCAGATTGTCATAGCCTCCGGTACATCACATACACTATGCGGCAAGCAAATGCATTGTTTTCAGTGACCGCTTAAAAGGAGAATCAGCAACAGTTTACATTCACATGAGAAAGACAGCAGGATACTTTCCACTGTTTTAACCAAGATTATGTTAATTTGCCTGTTACTTCACCATGTAGTCCAAAGGAACATAAACAATCTGGAGAGTTCACAGCAGAACATTTTGGTCCACTATATTTATCACACTATGTTACTTAAATCTGATAAGCAAAAAAAACACAAAATGTCAAGGACTCTGCTTCCGTAATCACATGTGCTCCAGAGGATGAGAAATAAGAGAGAAAACTTAAAATGACTTAGAGGCTGCTACATTGGGGAAGGTTTTAGGGATTTTTAAGTTCTGGAAATTTGGGGACGTAGCTTACAAAGTACTTTATGGGTTTTTGTACCTTGAGCCTCCTGCCACTAACGAAGAGCTACGATACTTGGTGAACCTCTTCGGGTCTGGGAAGCATGATAGTCTCTTCTAGTGAATACTGTTTTGACCCACTTACCGGCAAAATGGTAAGCTGTTTGAGTGAGGCCCCAGGACAAGAAGGGGCTCCGCAGCCTGTCTACGCTACAGACAAGCAGATTGGTCACTTGGATCATACAACCTAGAAGATACAATAGTCTAGGTTGCAGTATGAGAGAGTCTATCACCTAGATCGTAGGCCCCATAAAATCCCCCAGTACTAGAAGTATCTATGTGAGATAAAGATGTCATGTGAAGCTGTTGGCAAATTGCAATTAAAGAGTTGCTGGAGCAAGCCCACGTCATCTGCAGCAAAGAACTATTTATTTACCATCAAAATGTAGCTCCAGGCATGCTACTGGGTCCTAGGAGAGACCGAGTGCCATACTATCCAGTGACCACGTGGCCAAAACTGTCTATCGCGAGCTGAGCACTGTCACATCCCCCAAGTCACAGGTTGGGCATTCCCAGAAACAATTCATAATAAAATGGAAGGAGTAAACCCAAGACCGGTTTAGAGCACATCCAGAGAGCACAGATAAGCTGCACAAACAGGTGGAACATTTTTTCGTATCGCTCACTAATCTTGCACCAAAATTTCTTCCTTAATTCACATCCATGGTCTCATGTTTAGATTATCAGTTACGAGAGAGGTATATTAAAATCTTCCACTACAGTTCTGTGTTTGTCTACTTCCTCTTTTACATCAGCCAGCTTTTGCTCATGTGCTAAGACTACGCTGTTACATACAAGCAAATTTAGGATTTTTGTCTTTGTGATTGGCCGTTTTATCATTATGAAATGTTCCTTTCTATCTCCAGTAGCAACAAAGGAGTTTTCAAAGAAAAAAAATTACCTAAAGACATTCTTTAAATACACTTAATAAAATATTTAAAAGGATGTGTACTAGTGTTTATCAATAGAAACAATAACACAAAAACAAGAGAAAAAAAAACCTTAGTGCCTACCAATAGAGGAATGACCAAGTAAATTATGCTACATCCATATTATCTGTATATTCAAAGATTGTTTATTGCCACGTGTGGCAGGTGAAGTAATGCTAATAAAATGTGGAAGCTACACATTCAGAAATTTTCTCCTAATATGCAACCTGATCCTCTCCACTTCCCATATAGTCTGTAAAAAGAAAATTCCTTTCTGTATCACTCCATAAAGAGTTACTTTTACACTCTCAGCTCACCAAAGTAGTCTTAATATGTTTTTCTGCTTTATTGCTCTAAAATTCGACCTGAAGCCATTTAATGCTATTATCTACAAGACTAGCAGCCTCTTTCAATAATCAATAATGTTGAGAGGTTATTGCTATTAGTAGAGTAAAAAAGCAGTTTCAGCTACTTTTCAAATGTAGTATTTATAGGTTTTATGAAGAGCACAAGACGTCTTGAAATGTTGAAACAAAAACAAACAACATCCATTAACACCTATAGACTGGCAACGTGTTGTTCACTGCCCATGGACTGTTTCAACAAATGTTTTTGGAGCTCCTACTGTGTGTCATTGTTAGATATCCTCCTTCCATTTCAAGATCAAGAAAGTCCTTTCTATTCTGAATCAGGTAAGGCTGAGGCTGAGAGAGTTAGCTGGCAAATGAGAGACTAGGCGAAAGAAAATCATAAAAATCAGTTGAATCTATAAGTTTTAAAAACATACATAGCTTTACTGGCTTAGATCTCAAGTTCCTTTTCCTCTTGCTTCCCCCAAATTTTGTTTTCCAGAACTGAGATGATGATTTCTCTATAAAAGAAAAAAATCAGAAAGAGATGAGATTTTAAAAAAAACATCAAAATGCTCCATTTGAAATGAAATTGGGAGAAGACATGAGGAAATGAACTACTGTTCTGACTCTTCTGGTTTCTGGTCACTCTGCCAGTTTCCTTGGCTACTGCTATGTTTACCAAACTGTGTTAGAAATATACATAAAGAAACTATTTTTAAAATTAATTTTTAATGAATTGGCAAAGGCAATTTAAAAATGGGGGATTTCAAGGAAGAAAAGCATCTAAGAAACCTACAATTATATCTCTTCTCTGTAAGGAGTAGGCATTTCAGTGCAATAATTTCTGTCTAAACACCAAGCTGAGTGGTTTAAAAATAATCAAGGAATAATTTTTCATTTAGGATAGTAGATTATGTAACATCATTTATTTGCCCTCCCGAGATCCTACCAGAATGATAATAAAAGGAAACAAAATGTATGAATTCACAACAATGAAGAAAAAGAGAGGATAGTCACAGTGGATGAGAATTTTCCATTAATTTCTTGGAAATGAAAACTAGCCGTTGACTATGAGCATCATATTGAAACCTCAGGTAGTTATCAGTCAGATCTATTACTGTAAATATCTTTATAAATAATGAACGGTACCCTGCCTTCACTGACCAAGCTCATTTTAATTGCTTTTACAAAACTTGCATAACCTCCAAGTGTAGCCTTTGTTAGCAAACTAACTCCAGAGTAACCAAATAACTCAAGGTAGCAAAAGAGAACTTAGAAATAAATTTAATTAGTATTCTCATAAAGATTTAAGAAGATATTGCTTTTATAAAGCCATTAATAAAACATGTTCTGGAAACTAACAATGGGATTAATAAAACTATGGGAAATTACAAAATAGATTGCTGGAATTAAAAATAGATAATTTACTCATCCTGGTTCCACATATTTAATAAGAGTCTTCCCAAAGCTTCCTTCAAAAATATTTTCTAAAGTATGTTTGTATGGCAAACCTTGAGGCTATGCTTATCATTCAGAGTTTGGAGACAGATGGCACATTCAAACGGAGTAATTTTAGGTGAGATTAACAAAATTTAACATTTACAAAGAAGTGAACAGAGTACAGGAAAAAAGAGGAGTCAGTACAGTACCAGCTGCTAAAAGCAAGGCCCTCTTCCCACCCCTGGCTCTGAACAGGAGACCAGGGGGACTGAACACTGTCCTCTCCGTGAGTGCACAGATAGTGTGCTCAAG